TATACGGAAAAGGACAGTAACAGGAATTTTAAAAATTAAGGAGAGTACTTATTCAAAATTCTTATCTACCTACATATAGAATACCCCCTTCCTCTCATTTTTCCTTCGTTTTTATCTTGTTTATTTTGAACAGCCAACGAAGGTTTGCATGATGCAAACACTGCCAAAGAAATGCAAATCGGTTCGAAATATCCCCCCCCCCCCCTAAAATGGGGTATTCTGTATTTGGCCCATCCATAAAACACCCTTAAAATGAGAAGCAAATGCTACACATGACTTTCTTACCACCATGATCCAATGAAATCTGCTTCTCATCCATCCAGTGTCGAAACCTGATGTTTGGGTCATCACAGATAAGTGACAAGCATGATCCAGGAGAACAGTTGATGGCTCCAAACACAGATTCCCTTCTGCACCATCTTCACATGAAATGGCCGGAGACGCCCCTGGAGGTTGGGAGCAAGAAAAGAAAGAAGTTAAACCCGCTGACCAATGGATGAAGGTGAGTGGAAAAGGTGAAGTCAGTGTGAGATTACGTGATCTTAACATCCAGGGTGAGACGCCTGGTGTCCCGTTATCACAGGGGAACCTCCACGATGCGGGAGTCCATTAGGAGGCGGAAGAGGAGTGTTGCATTATTTCGCACAATTCGCACAAAGTTTTGGGAAATTTTGAAAATTTGCTGGATAGTGATTCTTTACAATTTTGATATTTTGGATGCTCCTGTGGATGTATTATAAGCACTAAAAAATTAGCCTCAAGAAAACTTCTGCATTCGAGAAAAATTGAATATCAAAACTTACCGGTGCTCCCGGAAAATTCTAATAAATTTTAAATTTTGGAAAAAAATTAAATAGCGCTTACGGCCATACAATGGTAGCTGCGACCATGAAAATGTGATTTTTATTATGGTCTTCAAGGATTTGGGGGAAGGGGCAAGGCAAAACTATTTTTGTTGATTAAAAACTGACGTACATTTTGCACTGGGGGCAGGCTGTAGATTTCCTTTTTAAAATGAACTGCCCGAAAGGGCCAATGCTATCTGTAATTTTTTTTCTTATGCTATTTTTTCTTTCTTTTTCTATTTAGAATATTTTGTCGTAAGATGTCTTCTCCTCGAGTCCTCGAAAACTACATTATTTTGCTAATTTCTAAATAATAAAAAGGTTAGGGCTTTCAGGTTATTCTGTTAAAATACGTTTCAGCATTTTGTGGAAAAGTTTTTCTGAGGGTTTGGGGCAAAATAGCTAAGAGCATCTGATGGAGAAAATTTCCTCCATGTTGGAGGAAAATGAAAGTATAATATATTTTCTTTTTTAAATTTTAAAATCGTTTAATGCTTTTGGGTATCTGGATGTCCCAAATACTTCTTCAGGCGCTGCCACGGTATATTATTGTTTTAGCCATAAATTCCGTAATAAACTGGAGAGAGAGCGACTTGTTGTAGTATTTTAGGGGAAGATCTGTAAACATCGGGTTTTCACACTTTGTGCTCCTGAATATCTAGATATAGTAGTTACCCCCATTTTAAAAGTAAACCACAGTGTTCTAAATTAGTTGGACGTAGAAACAATATTATGCCTGAGCATGTGTTCTATAAAACTATTATTAAATTGAGTAAACCATAATTATTTAGCACTCTAGCAGAACAAGACAATGTCAACCTACACCGGATGAAGAATGGCAATATGCAGATTAAATAATTTGCCAAACGGTATTCATGCCAGACTGGGTAATTCATTGATTGAACCACTACACCATGACTTGACATGACTATACCAGAGATTTGAACATCTTGCCAAAGGACTGTAGAGCCAGGCTAGGATTTAAATTTCTCAACCTCTCCATTGAAGTTGAGCGACTGAACCACTACACCACGGCGTCGCGATCAGTCAAACACTGTGGTTTACCTTTAAAGCTCAACTGAGTGGGATAAAACTTTGTCATTAGTGTGTCTATTGTCTCTCATGAATAAAAGGAACAAAAGTAATAATAGTAATAATGAAGCATGATTGCAATGCCAGCAATAATACTGTGGATAACATGAATACAAAATAACAAAAGTAAAGAAAAAATAAAACAAAACATATTGCTCACATGGGTAAAATAAATGTATAACTACCCCTGTTCCCCCACCACCACCTCCCTCTACACCATACTCTACCCCTGTTCCCCCACCGCCACTCCTCCCTCTACCCTTACTCTACCTCTGTTCCCCCACCCCCACCCCTCCCTCTACCCTATACTCTACCCCTGTTCCCCCACCCCCACCCCTCCCTCTACCCTTACTCTACCTCTGTTCCCCCACCCCCACCCCTCCCTCTACCCTATACTCTACCCCTGTTCCCCCACCCCCACCCCTCCCTCTACCCTTACTCTACCCTCTCCTCCTCCTCCTCATCCTCAGTCGCCTCGCTAGCCGTCCAATGAAGTCTCCAGTCATCGTCTTGCTGTCCCCATTCTCCTTCCTCATCCCTCTGCATAACCTCGATCATCTCAAACACCTCCACATTCACCTCCTCCTCCTCCTCAGTCGCCTCGCTAGCCGTCCAATGAAGTCTCCAGTCATCGTTGGGGTGCCCCCACTCTCCTTCTTCTTCTCCATCCATCCGGTGAACCTCGATCTCCTCGAACTCGATCTCCTCGAACTCCTCAGCCCCCAGCACCTCCTCTACGGCCTCAACCTCCAGCACCTCCTCTGCCTCAGCCTCAAGCACCTCTTCTACGGCCTGATCAGCATCCACCGCCGCCAGCGCCTCAAGCGCCGCTAATTCAGCTTCCTCTTCTTCTAAATACAGGGTCATGTTATCTGGAAAAAAAGTCCAGTCCGAATAAATGAAAGCACAGGATTTTGTGAATTCAGTCAAACAAGGCCCGGATCCCTTACAACTTTTTAGATATATTTTCCCGCATACGTAATCTAAAAACGATCCGGACATTGAAGACCGCGATGGAAAAGAGTGCGAAGAAACGAAATGAATTGGGATTATTAATCATTATCAGTTATTTTTTGTTCAATATTAAATCACGCGGGGCGTCGAAATTTCGTTTAAGGAATTAAATATGGTAGTTGAATTCATGTTAATGATATGCCTTACCAATAGCAACTTGTTTCTGCAAAGTCATGCGTTATGGTGTCATCATTATGAAAGCCAAGAATGAACTTTTATTTGATGTATTCTTTTAATCATTAATGATCATAACTCATTCTCTGTCTTTTCAAAATCACTATGAACCAAATGTAGCAGCTCTCGACTTGTTTTTGATAATTAATGTTTTTTCTGCCTGAGCTCCTACTGTCTTAATACAGCCATGCATGATTTAGTAATCATTATTTTGATGCCGTACGCTAGAAGAGAAAAATTATCTTTTCAATAATGTATGCATTAAATGAAAACATTATTTGCGTTTATTTTTTGATAAAATTGGGTTACCCTTTTAACCCTTACTGCACTGGGCTTTTTTTAAACATCTGACTGGGGAGGGGGGGGGGGCTGGGGCTCCCTCCCTTTCTATGATCTCGGCCGTCGAATGTCCGATGAACACGAAAATTTGCATATTTGAAGATATTCACGTAAGAAACAAGATGGTATAATTCGTTTTTCCTAATATGCAAGTTGTTGTCATTAAACCCTAATTGATTATGCAAATGCTAATGTCATACATTTTACAGAAAAAAATGTACATATTTGTCTCAAGACTTTCGAAGAATCTTGAAAATGCATTGAATAAACGTTTCCTTCATTTCAAATTCATGACATTTCATCATTTTTATATTTGGAAATGCAAAGGTTAATTTGCATAAATTATGAATACGCATAATTATTTCATCATTTTATTTTCTTATGTATTTTAATGTTTTATATTTCTTATTATATCTATTGTTTTATTTCTAATGTATTTGCTCGGGAACATATCAAAGCAAGTTGATATCAATTTATATCTCACACTTGTTTGAAGAAATCTAAACATGTGTTCACATTTTTGCTTGTACATGAATATGCAATTATAGCACTCTTTGATGACATGCGCATACTAATAATGTGACACCTTACAAGTATATCTGATTTCGACGAAAATGGTTTCAACATAATGAGTAGGACCTCGGTGCGTAGTTGCGTAGAAACGACAATTTAAAATTCCATGGGGGGGGGGGGGGGGGCTCCTAGGCCCCAGTACAGTAAGGGTTAATACAGGGACAGCATAGATATACACTTATGATACGCACATAAACAGAACCCTGTTCCTTATATTTTGACGTTGACAAATCATGGAATGAAATTTTCTCCAGCTATCTCATGTAAAAGATACATGGAGATATTTCCCATAATATTGAATTTAATGTCGCCAATAGCCTAACACTAATTTCATTTAAATTTTGATAAAAAAATGAACATGGTATGGAGTAAGCAGCAGGCCAAGATGGATCAAACACTATATTTCAGCGGCTTTCAAGGTGTGTTAACTTTGCATAATAGACCATGCGAAGCCGTAATGAAAAATGGCTCCAAATTGTTATATTTTTTATTTTGAAATAATAGTCATACTATTGAATGGCTTATTTTGGCCAATACATGAAATATCGAACTCAATATTCAGAAATATTTCGTCCAATATTTCTTTGTATTGACTCTAAAGCCATCCAATATTTTATTCTTCTTGTATCCATGATTGCAGGATATTTTAATGTGAGGAAACCCAAAGAAGAAAAAATGTATCATGCGGATAAAAACCCATCTCTTTCTAAACAGTGCTATTTAATCATGTCAGTGTAGCGTAATAATTTGTGTTGTTTTAGTTTACTTTATTTTAGTTAAGAATGTTATATTTTTGTGATAGTAATACATGTATGTACAGCGCCATGAGCGTCAGAGCCTGGCGGATACCGGCGCTATATAAATATCCATATTATTATTATTATTATTATAAAGTCTTTCAATTCCACAAGTGGAGAAAGATATAATAAACAAATTATAAACTTACGATGCTGGGTACACTTTGGGGCGTCGCCCGCGAATCGGGAATCTCTGCTACATCTCGAACCTTTCCTTGTGATGGATGTACATTGCGGTATCCTGTTCAGGTACAGGTTGACCAGCCTGTATGAGAACAACAATATCTTAATATCAGCTTGTCATTTATGGAATGACTATATAATATAGGCCCTTAAAACCTTAGTGGTTTGGGAGGTGCAAACGACCCCAACATAATTGTACAGGCATATAACACGTTTGGGGGTGGCGGGTCGTTATTAGTTGATTTCTACATCGTCCATGGTCGCATTTACGCAATACTCCATTCTGTTTTAAACAGACTAGATTTTATCACAATATCTGCTTTATCTGTGTAAAATCTAAAAATTATTTATTGGTTTTTAGCGGGCGAGGGGACAATTTTTGCCCCTATTCCCTGAAGAAGAAAAAATAATCACGAAAAAAAACTAGTCATCATTCATCATTACTGCAGGCGGATGGTAATTTTTCTCACATATTTTGAGTTTGTCGATAAATTCAATCTTTGTTGTAATTTTCTATAATTTTATTAAATTATAGCGGTCATATCTTTGAAATGGAAGCATATTTGCTAAGACCCATCTAAGAAAAACACAAAGAAGGAATTATTGCAGCATGAGCAAAGTTACTAAAGTAGGTAAACTATTTCATAAATTGTGTGTTCCAATTTCCCAAAAGAAATGGAAAGGTATTCTTTCAAAGTCAGTTGTTATTAAATTGGAATCAAATTTACATCATTCCTTGTAAATGTTATTTTTTCGACAAAAATAAGGTATTTTCAGTTTAAAATAACTCACAATAAGTGTCAATAAGTATTCAAATGCTGTTGGTATATCCCATTCTGATTTATGTACGTTTTGTTCAGAAGATGATAAATATACCCTGAAAATGACATTAAGTTAACAATCTATGCGCAAATAGATGTATATCCAATTTATCTAAATACTAGAATCTTGTTTTTCATTGTACCTTTCTTTGTCAAATGTATTGATCCATCAGTTTTGTTCATTTGCTTATACTGTTTTATGCTTTGAGACAAAATGAATAAAGACTTGAGTCGAAGAAAAAAATTTGAGAGATTTAGTACAAGATAGAAAAGTCATTTTGTTGCTCTTAAAGATAATGTGTCCCTTTTGCGGCCAAAAACAAATTATGTAGAACTTTGCAGGAATTATGAATATGTCACGTGCGTCCTATATGTGAAATGTATACGTTAGCAGTGTCCTAGTATTCAAATAATGCGAGGAAACCCGTTTTAGTTTCTAGACTTGACTTTCAGACACTATTGAGTGACTGACTGACTTCTGTTTTTCTTTGGTAATAACATACATAAAATGAGCTGTATATATGAAGGATACATGAGCATTTTCTGTACACCTCATTAACCAACTTCTTTTAATGGCCAAAATTAAGCTGATTGAATATTTGCGCAGCACGAAACGTACGACCATACGGTACAAGGGTCTAAAACCAGATTATTTTTCTTTCATAATTTTCAAAACTGTTGCGAAAATTCCTAACGGTTGATATAATTCCACATATCAAAAAGGCAATTGCCAGTTCTAATCTTTTCAGGGGATTTTTCAGTACCTCTTGTTTGTGATGGGATTCACACAAAATTATATTTTCAGCCTGCAAAGGGAAAACACACCACCTGAGTGTGTACTATCATTTGTTGGTATTTATGAAGAGCAAAGGAAACATGCACAGGGTTGGTATTCAGGGAAATTTCAGATATGAAAGGTGTTAGTATTGGGGGTGTAAATATTAATAATTTTCGTTATGCTGATGACACTATACTTTGCGCAGAGAATGAAGCAGATTTAAAACATGTATTGGATATTGTAAAAGTCAAAAGTGAAGAGCTTGGTCTAAGCATGAATGTCAAGAAAACTAAGTCAATCATTTTTAGTAAAACAGAGAATAAGCCTAGAATATGTTTGAAACTTGATGGACATATCATTGAGCAAGTCAGTAATTACATCTACTTAGGACAAAATATCACAGATGATGACAGATGCGAAGCAGAAATAAAAAGAAGAATAGAAATTGCTAGGAATACATTTCTGGCAATGAAAGGATTATTCACAAATAGAAAGGTGAAATTTGCGCTTAGGTTGAGACTAGTAAACTGTTATGTATGGTCTGTTCTATTGTATGGAGCAGAAATATGGACGATAAACAAGGCCATGGAAAATAGAATAACATCTTTTGAAATGTGGATCTACAGATGAATGATGAAAATATCCTGGAAACGAATGAAAACCAACAAAGAGATATTGCACATGGCAGGGCGTAAACAAATTGCACTAGTAGGATTAGTTAACCCTAAAAATGCCGGGCTATTTGAGGTCTTAGTACGGCCGGGGGGGGGGGGGTGTTACACCCACAAATGTAATAACGCCCACACATGTAATAACACTTTACCCACAAATGTAATAACACCCACAAATGTAATAACACTTTACCCGCAAATGTAATAATATCACCCACAAATGTAATAACCACTTTACCCACAAATGTAATAATTTTGAATCACCCATAAATGGCCCTGTTACACCCACAAATGTAATAACGCCCACAAATGTAATAACGCCCACAAATGTAATAACACCGTACCCACAAATGTAATAATTTCACCCACAAATGTAATAACCACTTTACCCACAAATGTAATAATTTTGAATCACCCACAAATGTAATAATGACTTTACCCACAAATGTAATAAATTTGAAGGGATATTTTGTCGAATTTGTTCAAAACTAAAACCCTGTAATAAAGAATGGGTATAGCGCGCAGTCTTTACTCCAGACCCGGTTATTTCAAAAATTTAAAAAATCTTCAAAACTAAGACCCCATAATCCTTTTCCTGTGGATTAACTTCTTCTTCTTCTTCTTGATTTGATTTTGTTTGGCAATCAGTCACAGTTGACTATTTTTGCCACACACTATTTTATGAATTATTTATATATATATATATACATTATATGTACAATTTCATGTCATAAATGACTATTTTTAGGATTCTTTCTCTTTCCATCCCCTTTCCTTCCGCTTATTTTCTTTTTAGACCCTATATATATTTTTTTTTTTTTTTTTTTTAGAGAAAATTCAATAAATTAATAAATTTGGAAAGAGATGGCCTAGCCTAGCGAGATGTACGTACTTGTTTTTTCGCGCACGTACGTGCGCGTTCACATACCACCTCTCTATGCACATGTGTACTTCGCACGTACATGAGTATTGAGCGTAGTCTTTCCTCCAGACCCGATTATTCAAAAGTTTAAAAAAACAAAAAACAAAACAAAACAAAACAAACAAAAAAAAAACCTTTTAAACTAAGACCCCTCCATCTTCCAAATTAAGACCCGGTAATAAAGCATGGGATTAGAGCGTAGTCTTTACTTCAGACTCGGTTATTTAAAAAAAAAAAATCTTCAAACTAAGACCTCACCATCTCATTCCTGTGGAATAACATGGGTATAGAGCGTAGTCTTTCCTCCATACCCGGTTATTTCAAAAGAAATAGAAATTTAAACAAATCTTCGAAACTAAGACCCACCATCTTATTCCTCTTTTTTTTCATTTAAAAATAAATTACATTATAACATATGTGGATACAACACGTCACAAATAAATGATTGGTGGGCGGTCACACGAACTGACGAATCAGTCAAAATGGTCCATATATATAACACACAGAGGAGGGACCGATTCGATGGTTCGTTGACCGTCGACGATTTTTTTGTAATCATGTAAATATTCTAACGCCCACAAATATCCTGGAATTCAATGTTCGTAGAAAAAAAAGTAATCGAATAAGTGACCTTAAATGTATTTAAATATTGACGCTGATTGTTTTATACATGTGATTATGAAATATGTTCACGATATGTATAACATATATATATATATATATGTACGCTATTAGTGACATTGAAACGTTGGATTGCGATGTTATATTTTCATGAGTGCGTGAATGAATTACCTTTCTTCATGTGATGAACGTATCAATTACTTATACTGAAGACTACCAATTGGTACGCGGTACACGGTACACGGTGTGAATTTATGAGAACGACATTTATTCAAAGGCAAATACAAACAAAACACATTTATATTACAGTTTTCCCTACTTCTGAAACACTCAAGCAGCTATATAAACAAGAACAAGTCTGAAATGATAATCGGTTAACAAGCAAATAACAACGCATACTTTCATATAACAAATCACTTGATATGACTCTACAACTATGGAAGCACTAAAAAATAATTATCTTTATTATAAGTTCGAATAGAATACAGATCAATTTAATTCCGTTCTCTTGGGAGCCAAATTATACACATTGACACAGTTTAGACAGAAATAATCATATAAAGGAGTAACAGACCCATATCACATATCTAGAGAGATGTACACCCACTTGAATTAACAAGTGAACATTTGAAATGCCCACAAAAATACCTTGTTTATTAATGTTATCACGAAAAGTGTACTTAACCTGTCGGTATACAGTAAAAATACACGACAATAAACAGCTCTATGTGTATATGATTAGTGTTCGTATGATTGTGACGTGTTGTATCCACATATGTAATAATGTAATTTATTTTTTAATGAAAAAAAGAGGAATAAGATGGTGGGTCTTAGTTCCGAAGATTTGTTTAAATTTATATTTCTTTTGAAATAACCGTGTCTGGAGGAAAGACTACACCCTATAACCATGTTATTCCACAGGAATGAGATGGTGAGGTCTTAGTTTGAAGTTTTTTTTTAAATAACCGAGTCTGAAGTAAAGACTACGCTCTAAACCCATGCTTTATTACCGGGTCTTAGTTTGGAAGATGGAGGGGTCTTAGTTTTGAAGATTTTTTAAATTTTTGAAATAACCGGGTCTGGAGTAAAGACTGCGCGCTATACCCATGCTTTATTACAGGGTTTTAGTTTTGAACAAATTCGACAAAATATCCCTTCAAATTTATTACATTTGTTGGTAAGGTCATTATTACATTTGTGGGTGATTCAAAATTATTACATTTGTGGGTGAAATTATTACATTTGTGGGTAAAGTGTTATTACATTTGTGGGTGTTATTACATTTGTGGGTAAAGTGTTATTACATTTGTGGGCGTTATTACATTTGTGGGTGTAACAGGGGGGTGATGGCCCCCTTAAGATCTCGGCCGTGAAATGTGCATGCGTGTCAAGTGAAGTGTATAGAATAATATGATAATTCAAATTTTCTGAAAAATTCACTCATTTGCATATTTATGGTAATCTATGCAAATATGGTCATAAAATTACATTTTTACCCATAAATCATACATTATTCATATTTAACAATTCTTTTTCACTTCATATATTCATTACACCATTTGGAATAACAATACGATAACAAAATTATGAAGAGCTAGCTTATTCCTTATGTTATTTCTTGTTTTCATATTTCTTATGTATTTAATTGTTTTTATCAACTTATGTATTTTATTGTTTTTGTTGTTTTATTTCATTTCTTACTACATTTCAACTATTTTGACTCCCAAAACAACCACCTAAACTTTAAACAAGACCCAATAACCAATGTTTGATCTATTTTTTTTAAGGAAAAATGACATTTCCATATGTTTTGTACACAAATCACAAAAAATGAGCGATTTTCGGGCTGACATGCAAAGACAAAATATCACATGACCTTGTAACTGTAGGTCCGGTTTTCAAAAGAAATCTTTTAAAAGATGCGCAAGACTCGAAAGAAAAAAAGTCAGCGAGCGGCGGGGCGCCATCCATATGCGTTCCAGAACAATCAGGAAAATCGTGGAGGGGGGGGGGCATAATGGCCCCCGGCTTTATAGGGTTAAGGAGAGAAAATAAAACACTTTGGTCATGTTAACCTTTTGAAAATATGTCTTGTTTATATCTAAGGCTCTTTACTTAACCGATCATACGCTTTTATTTCCACATTGTGAAATCCCCAAAGGAGTGGGTAATCTGCCATGGTAGGCAAGTCATAGTTAGAAGTGTATTCTCTAGTTTTCAGACCTACATTAATTTTGAGGTAAGTTCTGTCTTCAAATGTGTAAACTGAATAGTTTAAACATATTTTTTAACGTTTGGAATGCTGAAGTTTTGTAATTTTGATGTGCTGACGCCTAAAACATCGGACACAAATTTCATTACATCGTATTTTTCTAAGAATAATATATTGGTGTATTTTTATAAACTATCAAATGAAAATATCCGGGGATACCCATTAAGAACAAAACTGATTCACCGGTCATGTAATAAAATACTCACAATTATATTTTACAAGTACTTCTATTGTATAATCTACACAAATTTGGAAGTATATTGCATCTCTTATTTCCTGGAATCATTTTCAATCTTTTTTTAATTCCAGCCTGAGGACCTATTTTTCGCCGGGCGTCCTTGATCACGCCATCATCGGCTGGAAGCAAGTAAGTAGGGAGAGGTAGCGTTGGTGTGGTGGAGATCAAAATGAAATAGGCCAGATTCTGGACTACGTAGTTGGCGGATAAAGTTATGACTGTCTTGTCGTTGGTTTCTAGGAACGGACCCCCGGTCTATTGCCATGAATGATCTAGAAGAAGTACCGGTAAACAGCGATGGTGGACGAAGGCGTACAATACTTTGCCTCCTTCCTTCCCCTGTTAGCCGGTCATATCAATTTCCATGTAGGTCTACGGAGGAGGATTAAGGTCTTGATCTTCCCTCGCAATTCGTCGTTCTTTCGGGTTGTAATGATCAATGAATTGAATTTCAGATCACTTTTGAAACGCCCTCCCTGATGAAGTGTTATTTAATTTGGGCTTGGAAAATAATACAATATTCAGATTTTCTGGATCGGGCCAGTAGAAATGGGAAATACAGTGCGAGTCAAAAAAAATTACACCCAGAAAATTGCTAATTATTTTACAAATCATCTATGAACAGTAAATTATTATACATCTTATGAAAGAGTGTTTTATCCCGAATCATTTAGTATCATTTTTGTGTGGTGTGTGTCCACGTTTGGGTGAACAGGAGGCATTGTTTGCAAGAGTGTAAAAATCGACTTGCGCCGAAGTGATGCCTACAGTATGTGATAAGCTGGATTAAAGTGAGAGAATGAATTCAATGTATCAAATGAGATGCATTGCATAATTATGCTTTTTTGCAGAAGGAAAGTCACAATCACACACACGCATGTGTGGCATGATTACTTTTGTTAGGGATTTTTATTTTTTCTGCACTGACCGAATTAATACCCAAATCCCAATTGTTTTATTCCAACATCACAAAAGCAACGTTGACGCAAGTCGATTTCTGCACTCTCGCAAACAATGCCCCCTGTTTATCCAAGCGTGAACACATACCACACAAAATGATACTAAATGATTCGGGATAAAACACTCTTTCATAAGATATTTAATAATTTACTGTTCAAAGATGATTTATAAAATAATTAGCAATTTTCCAGGTGTAAACTTTTTTTTACTCACACTGTAGATGTTACCCTTGTTGATGGACTTTAGGAGGATACTAAGAGGACACATTTTTTTTTTTTTTTTGGTCTCGAAATTTGAAAATTTGACATTTTGCTCCGTTGGGGGGGGGTAAGGTCAGCTTTTTTAGGTCAACCATGGGAATTTTTTTTTTTTTTTTTAATAAAAAAAAGAACAATTTTTTTTTTTAAATCCAAAAGGGGGGGGGGGGTTAGAGAAATTTAGGGGGGTTTTACACACAAAAAATTACCAAGGGGGGGGGGGTTAACCCCCCAAACCCTCCCCCTGTGTCCGCGCCTGGTCTTGTCGTTGGTTTCGAGAAACGGGCCCCTGTGTTTTTTTTTTTCATCTGCGAGCATCACTTTCCTATCGTGGAAAAATGCGCTCATCTGAATAGGTCGAATAGGGAATAGCTTCATAGTAGTTTCTCCCTCCATCCCCTCCCCCCTAAACAAAAAAAATGAAAGAAAAACAGAAAAACATGAAGGAATTAAACTAAATGAAAAGCGGGAAGAAACTTACTCTTCGTACGTCAGCTCGGCCTTGTGTTGCCAACACGTTTTTGTGGCATGGCGACTTTTTCTCTTACATCGTTCTTGTCCTATGGCTTTGGTCCGACATACGCACCTGTAGCGTACTGCACCGTACATTGACGGGTGCTCAAAGTCAATGTTCATCTACGTAATGAAAGCAGAGCAAAGAAAACACACACAAATAAATGACTGAGATATTTAATCAAATTTGAATGGAAAATTGAATTGAAAATAACTCCTTTCCATCATCACAGTCAAAGACCAAACAGATGGATAAAATGGATGACAAAGATAAAATGATTGTTTTACAGAGTAAACGGTATTACAAAAATACATATAAAGTACATATCATGTAACCATATTACAAATAGAAAATGAAATGCTATGCTGATAAGGCTTGATCATCCAATGCACACCATGCGCATTGGAGATAAAGATATTGGTTAGGCCTACAAATAAAGAAAACTGGATTGATTTTGATCGAATATCAAATTGTATTTCCCAAGAACGGGTCTTAAAACCTATCGGGGTTCTGGTGTTTGGACCGAATCCCACTACCCTTTTATTAAAAATCCATTTGACTTTCCTTAAGAATCAAACTAACACATCATATGTCATTTTAAAGAGTAATTAAGATTATATCTAATGACACGGATGACTGAGCAACAGCTATTTCAAAGAGGAATTGTCAAAATTCTTTTCTACCAAGTTTAGAATGGAGAAATATATATTTTGTTAAAGCCATTACGCATTGTTACTTCAGTCCAAAAACCATTGCTGATTTTACATTCACATTGATTTTGTACATTTGAATAGAAAAGGTGAACCTGTCAACTCAGAAAAAAAATGAGGAAAAAAAAGACATTTTCTTTATTATACTGACACAATATTGGCTTTTCTCATATCACCTTCTAAGGTAAGCCATGTCATTTCATCCAAAATGGATAAAGTTTACTTGGGACACTATCCTTTTTCCAAGAAATTTTACTGTCAGCATCTTTGTTAGTTATCATAATGTGTTCTTTCGCGCATTTAATAAATCTTTGAGGTTAGTAAACCTCTAAGCTTTCATGTGCTGCTCGAAACAAATAACTTATAAACCTTACACACATCAGAAATGTGAAATGTTGCAATGGATAAATGAGCGGAAAGATCTTAGATATCAAGAGACGAGAAGATAGGCTGAAATAATTCAAGATTGTCCCGGTGAATGAAATAAGGTCATTTGAAAGCTTAGGTAAAATGGATCACTTTAAAGAGAAGGTTGAGTTCTGGGAAGAGGTGAAAAATAATTTGTGAGTGTTACTCATTCTTATTATGCAAGTGTGGAAGAACATCAGATAAGACATGTTCCCTGAAAAAGCATGGCTCTTCAAATGCCTTCATATTCTAAATATGCATGTAACATCGTAAAAATCGGGGCTGGCTTTTTACGCCACGTGTTCGTGTAGTCCCATATACATCTTTCTGTGCAAGTATTTGTAACTTTACCAAGACTTGGCCAAATTTCTTATCATTTTGATGATTCCAGAACCTTGCAATACACACAAATTCTTATATGCTAGATGATCAACCTTTTTTGGTCGGTTCCACACGGTTTCTTTCACAATGCAATCGCAAGACCAGAACTCAACTTCATCTTTAAATGATGAAGCGCTACAGTTTGAAGGAAAATTTCATTATTAAAAGGATTTACAAGACCAAAGTAAATATGCACGACGCGTTACTTTGGCATATCCCACATTAATTAGTGCATGATCTCAAACGTTAGACAAGGAGATTTGACAGCACTTTTTAAAAGACACTGGTGATCGATCAACCGTAACAGGAAAAAAATCCCAATAGTGCAGGGGCAGAAAACAAGTTACTCATACCTTGAAATACATCCACGATCACATTGATTGTGAATTTGTAATCCTAAGCTACCAAAGTTGGGTATACGTTCTTGTTTACACACTCATTACCTTTAAACGTAAATTATTCTAGGACCGAGCTTCCCCGGTGATGAACGGAAAATACCTCCAAGTATTGTAATGCCATGATATTTGCTTAGTTTGTTTCGACATGTTCCTTATTGGCATATGATTATACATATAATCAAATCGTGTTTCTGAGGATTTCAAGATTAACATAAACATGATAATATAAAAATGTAACCACACATTCTGCTGTATAATGTCGCTACATTATCATGTACTTACGGTGGATTGAAATGTGTATAATTGCAGAATCGTGTTGAAGAATGGCCTAAGGATAAAATGCAACAAAAAGAGAAGAAAAGGTCATTAAAGCGAATAAGATATGTTAGCACATAGAAGTTAAAGGAAACCTCATCCCAAAATATAAGTGTGTAGCTTTTCTGAAAAAATGAGATGTACTCAAGCCCTTTCGTGTATAATATTCCTTACGAAATATACAGAAGATATATAAATGAATAATTATATTCTTGGCATGATGCCTTTTAGCATGACATGGGCGCAGCCCATTTTCTTGAAAATGTGACTAACCAGTTAAAGCTACATACTTGTATCATGTACCAAGCCTGCACTTAAAGATACTATGTCCCTTTTGCACCGAACAAAATTCTGTAGAACTTTGCGGGAATTACGAATATGTCTGTGAAATTTAAACGTTAGCAGACTATGCAAGGAAACCTGTTTACTTGCTAGACTTCACTGTCAGACATTATTGAGTGAGTGACTGGCTGTTCTTCTTCTTTGGTAATAACATGCATAAAATGAGCTATAAAGGTATAATGAGCAATTTGTCTTCATCAATAACCCAGTTCTTGTCCAAAATTAAACTGATTGAATCTTTGAGCAGCCTAAAATATACGACCATTCGGTACAATGGTCTGAAAATCAGACTATTACTTACTTGCTCTAAAGCTCTTAAGTCGATTCAACAACTAATTTTTCCACTTAAAGACATTTTCAAGCCCCCTTGTTTTTAGGAAAGTTCTTCTTTCAAATGCTGTTGGAATTTAACAATTTCATTTTTGGCCTGCAAATGGGACATAGTACCTTTAAGTGAGTTGGAAAGACTTTTTCAATTAATAACAAATACCTTAATTTTCAACGAGAAACATCAAAGATGAAAAGATAAAATTCATATTAAATTTTGGTGAAATATATATATATATATATATATATATATATAACCAGTGGCGTACGGAGGATTTTTTCAAGGGGGGGGGAGTAAACAGTTTTAAATCGGGCCGAAAATTTTGCAACGACTCAGCCAGTCGCTGAATAAGTGGGAGGGGGGGGGGGGGGGGGGGGGGGGGGGGGGGTAAGAGCACATTTTTGTTTTTTTTATTTTGGTTCCAAAAAATCGCAACGACTCAGGGGGGGGGGGGTAAGGTCACTTTTTGGGGGTCACCCTTTGGTAGAAAAATATATATGTATGTTTAAAAAAAAACTTATTTCTTAATTTATTTTTGTTTATTATTAAAAAAAACTTATTTCTTAATTTACTTTTGTTTATTATTTAAAAAAATGAGGGGGGGGGGGTCCTAAACAAAAAAAATCACGCACATAACAAAAATTGAGGGGAGGGGTTTTCAACCCCCCCCCCCCCCCCCCGCTGCGTACGCTCCTGTATATAACAAGGGATTTATTATTGTAACTTATTCATTGAAAAATAATAAAATGTATACAGTCGAACGTGTCTATAGCGACCCCCCCCCCCCCCCCCCGTAGAAAAAAATGCCCCTGCGCATTGAAATTCGTCATCCTTTGTTATAAAACAACGAAATTCCCATACCAACAATCTTTGGTACAAGCTCGCTGATTGGTTGTTTATTCACTTGGGACGTCATTGAGAACGCCCGTAGATTTGTTCTTAAACCGTTCTGGATTTCAGTACCTCAGCGGTCACCCAACTGTTACTATACCGAGTGAGTCAAAAAAAAGTTTACACCTAAAAACTGATAATTATTTAAAAATCATCTATGAACAGTAAATTATTATACATCTTATAAAAGGGTGTTTTATCCCAAATCATTTGGTGTCATTTTTGTGTGGTATGTGTTCATGCTTGGATGAACAGGAGACATTGTTTGCGAGAGTGCAAAAATCGACTTCCGCCAAAGTGATGCCTACAGTATGTATTATGTTGGGATTAGCGGAGTGAGAAAATGAATTGAATGTATCAAATGAAATGAATTGCATATTCTTTTTGAAAGGGCAAAGTCACACACACCCACACACACGCGCACAAATGTTCGTAGATATTTGATATCCGATATGTGATATGTGTGGCATGATTAATTTTGTAAGGAATGTTATATGAAATTGCAAAGACCGAATTAATACCCAAATCCCAATTGTTATATTCAAACATCACATAAGCAACTTTGGCGCAAGTCGATTTTTGCACTCTCGCAAACAATGCCTCCTGTTCCTCGAGGCGTGAACACACACCACACAAAAATGGTACCAAATGATTTGGGATCAAACATTCTTTCATAAGATATATAACAATTTTATGTTTATCGATGATTTTTTTAATAATTAGCAATTTTGTAGGTGTAAACTTTTTTGACTCACACTTTAGTAGCTTCTCGATTTTGCGCACGCACCCAGGCGCGTACGCAGGAGGGGGGGGGGGGGTTATGCCAATGGCCGACCTTAAAAAAATGACCTCACCAAACAATTATGAAACTACAAAAGTTTGTTTTTGCTTGTTCAACTCCCTACACATTCGAAAATTGATGAGAATTCATTGAAACGGACAACGAACATTTGCTGAGATACGATTTTCTGATGTAGGAATTCTAAATCCTGATATTTCATTTGCTTTTTTATCTCACCACCTGCCCAACAGTTGCTAAGTAGCGCATAATATTTTGGCGGCTTGGAGCATGGGGTCAGGGGCGGCGATTTCTTTTCATGACCGGGGGGGGGGGATGCGAGGGAGCATAGGGAACGAGGGGGCGAAGATGACGGAAGTTACTACCCCTTTACAGGTTGTTGAAGTTGTGTTGTATTAAAAAAAATACATTCCTTATCAAAACTATAGTATAAAACGAAATACAGATTTTCTACAATATTTACTCGTATATTTTTAATGATATTATGCGAGTGAGCGTAGCGACCGAGCAAGAAGATTTTTGCATTTTTATTAGTCTAAACGCTGCACTCCTAGGCCATCCAGAGCCTAAAAGTGTGTTGCAGTCTTTAGTCAGTATTTGCTTTACATTTTTGGGGGGGGCACTTTTTCAAATTTTCCGTGGGGGGTGATCCCCCTAAACAAAATTGAGGGAGACGTGTCCCCTCCGTCCCCAGGGATCGCCGCCCCTGCATGGGGTCAAAGGAGAGCGGCTTGAGTCCACTCCTTGTATGACAGCTCCCTCGTATGACTTACAAATAGTAAAATTGTATTCGCCGTTAACAGTACTAGTAGGCATATAATAGACCTTCGTAACAAGTGTAAACATTCAAATTTGTATGAAAGTACTTAAACAAATTAACAACAACACAACAACAATGAGAATGATAACATTAATAAACAATGATAACATTAAAACAACAATAACACAAACACATTTACAACCGTTAATGATACCGGCATGCCACATTAACATTTATGGAGGAGATGATAAAACATTAAACATGCAAACGTTCTTTAAAGGCAGCTTTTGTCAAACATATAATAATTCTATCCGCTCCGGTAAGACAAACATTCACATTACAAATATGGGCATGGATTAATTTTTCGTCATGAGTAATTTAAGAGACAGAGACATACAATCAATTTCCACTGACATAAAGCAACCGCGACTATAAAGTAGGCTTAAAATAGACTTGACCATGAGAGGAGGCCAATATACGGCCTTGGTACCCGGAGTAAACGGGCATAATGTTATGATAAACATCGTTAAAACTAACTATTACAAACATCAAAAAAAACAACCCAGCAACAATATTTAGGAGTTAAGAGTTTTAAATGATGCCGACATGACTGTAACATATTATACAGACCGTCATTAGTCAACGTTTGTTTTTAAATTGATCTTTATCGGCATCATTTTGCGAAGAAATGAGCACATGAAAGTTCTATCTGATTTGATGTATAAAATTAATACAAATCTCAAGTACATAATGCTTTTAAAACAAAGAGACGGTCAGACGAACATGTTATATTGACACACAATAACCGTGATAGGAAGATGAGGGTTGGGCGCCATGACAGGTTCACACATAGCTTCATTACTATTCTGGCTGTGTATTCAAAGCTGTTTTGTTGATTCTCAACATTTCAAACACCACTGTACAAAACTCAACTGATTTCAGTCAAAATCGGTACTTTAGTGACAATCGATGACACCTAAATAGCAGTAAGATACAATTTTTTCAACTTACCGATGTTAGGGAGAATAATTTAAAAAATCAAATCGTGAGTCTACTATCAATCTTGCCGATCAGCCACATCGTATTCATCGTGTGCATTTGTGTGTATTGTGTACCGTATATTGACTAGTCTGTCCTATAATCTCGCATATTATTTCGTCTGTCATCCCTCTTGACTCCCAATACACACAAATAACACAATAATACACTTCAATTATTGTGGAATAGCCTGACAACGACTTTTTCATACCATGTTCTTATTCTATAAATCAAAAACAAAATTCAGAGTTAAAACCATTAATGGGTTAGATGGCCCCTGCATGTTAAATAAACCGTGTTAAATAATCTTAAAAAAACAAAATGAACATGAAACCGATTTCTACAAACTAAGGCAACGTTTGACGAAGAAAATCTATGACACCAACACCTCCAGCCAATATACAATAACAATCACTCACTATTAGCTAGAAATTACATACCCAAACATAAACTCGCATTATTTCTAATGATACGGAAATGGAAAATATAACCGAGCGCATATCTACTGTTCATATTAAACCATAATATTGTTAGACATAAAACATAGTTAAAGAATGACCACAAATATGAGAAAGACAAGGAAGGTGGTGTTGACTTACGAAATTCTGTGAGACAAGTCTGCAGATCCAGTGAAGGCTGTTGGTATTTATACCAGATAATGATCAAAGACGCTCGCATTGAACATGACCATTGAACTATATCAAACTCAATGGATTAGCTTGTCATCTTGACCAGTAACGTGGAGTTCTATTCTTATCATCCTTGTCCATCGCCAGCTCTATGAAAAACGGCTTTGTCATGTTAGAAGTAATCATTGTCCCCGTCAACTCTGGTAAGTTCGTAGCCGTCCACGTCTCAAACTGACGAAGAAAAGCTCCAAGCCTGCAACAAAGCATTGGCAATGTAAAACTCAGGATAAAGGGGAAACATTCTGGGTCAATTATCATGCAAATCTGCTGAAATAGTCATTTATTTGTCATCCCTCTTGGCAATAGATGCTTTCAATTAGTATATGCTGTAAAGTCAGCCGTTAATCCATCTCCCTGATCAGGGTTTAGGTGCCCATTCAATCCTTCAACATCATGCTTTGTAGCTTATACAGTTTCTTATACATACAACAACATTTGTGAACTTTCTTTCTGCATGATTATGCAACAATAAATATACAGTAATGTTCATTTTTGATTCATGGAAAATGGGGATTTCACCGGCCAAGCATCAGAGTTGATGAGGAGAAAGAGACACTGTATTAAAATGCAAAATCAAGAAAATTGTTAAAGTTGTGACCCCTCCACTAAATCGCGACAAAGAGAGAGAGAGAAGGGGGGGGGAGACTGGAGAGAGAAGGGGGGTAGTAAACCCTCCCATAACACAAGTATAAATCTTCCCATTAACGGTGTACGTGGCCCTTGGTAATTCGAATTTCAGTTCCGCGCCCCCCCCCCCCTTCCTTCCCCCTAACAGTTCCCAATAAATGGCTGGACCGAGGCTACACTCTTTGATACCTGGTTAGGGTTACATAACATGTAATGGGGGTCTTGGGGCCATTTGTATTCCATTCAACGGTGAACACCCCCCCCCCCCCCCCCATCAAACCGCCAGTGTCCCTTAAATGACGGGGCCCAAATCACGGCACTGGATTTTAAGTTGTGTTTGAATAATTATTTAAAATTTGGGAGCCTTTACCTTATGAAAAGACACTTTAAGTGTAAACAAGATAACACATAATGTGCAAATGATGGTCTGAGGTTTTAACAGCACAGGAATATTGTTTGAAACCAGCTATATTCTTGATTTTATCAAGTTTGGTCAAAATAAAACAGTTATATTATTAGGAGTGTATAAAATGAGAACAGAAAAATATTTATCGTGCTTGTTTAAATATAAGTGCAATGTTGCCATGCCATAATCAGCATTATGGTTATAGTTAATAGCCTTTTAGAAAGTGAGCGCACGGAATTGAGGAATTTCTTGTCAAGTTAATAATTTTATTGGGGTAGTAGGTTCAGTGTATGGCTTCATATCGTGGAGGTGTTGTGGTATAATGGTTCATTAACTTGACTCTCAATGCAAAGTTTGAGGTTCAAATCCCAGCGCAGCACTAAGGTCATTTGGCAAGATGTTTTGCGACTCTCCACCCGGTACGTACCTGGCAACTGGCCTTATCTTAATTACAGGGCCTTCAGGAAGAACAATGTTGATGCTGATGATGGTTCACTGGGTAAACAAATTATCATTATTTATTATTATTATTATTGTTATTATCATTATATTTTATTGCTGCTATTATTATAATTATTACTATAATCATTGTTACTAATGTGCCTCTTGATTTAACTTTAGTATTCGGGTTCTATCTATAATATGATATTTAATAGAATTTCACCATCTTTCTGTTACATTTTTTATGTACGTTTGAGACATTCGGAATGAAGTACATTCATTTCGTGTCTGCATTGCAAACTTTCTGTAAGTTTTGTGGTAAGGTACCCTTGAACTTAGTTGCATGCGACAGGGAAGGTATATACTTTGTGGTTTTCAAAGCATTGCGAAGATGAAACCTTATTAATTGACTTCAGGAGAAAAAATAAGCTAGGAATGACCTTCATTTATATCCCCCCTTTTCACTTTTTACTCTATTAAATATCATAATATGTGCAATCAGGTGGTGCAACATGAAAACAACTAGTAAATGATCCGCATCCATGGCGAGCTGCGTCAACTTAGTGGAGTAATAGTGTGACGAACACACAGACAATGAACGGACGAGTCCATTGTGATCTCGAAGGGTAATGAGTCTGAAAATAATGTTTCATTGATGAGGAACGAGGCACGAGCACTGGTGTAGGGTAGTTTGCAGGCACAAACCTTGGTCAGTCGTAAAGAGAGTCTGCACTATAATACTAGCATAGGCCATGTACTATAGCTGCTCCTGATATTGACATGTATCTTCTTTCTTCTTCTTGATTTGATTTTGTTTGGCAATCAGTCACAGTTGACTATTTTTGCCACACACTATTTTATGAATTATTTATATATATGCATAATTATGTACAATTTCATGTCATAAATGACTATTATTAGGATTCTTTCTCTTTCCATCCCCTTTCCTTCTGCTTATTTTCTTTTATATTTTTGTTTTTGTTTTCAATAAATTAATAATTTTGGAAAGAGATGACCTAGCAAGTTGTACGTACTTGTGTTTACGCGCACATGCGCGCTCAAATATCACCCACACCCTTTTCAAAATGCCATCTTACCAGTCTTTGAGGTACATTTCGCAGACTTTCGGTTTTAACCTAGGTCACTCCGGCATAGGTGAGGGGGTGCCAGCTGGCATGTGATGCTGGAGGCGACCACCGAATTGTTAGAAATTTAAATGGTCAAATTAGTTACAAGTATTGTGGGCTTTATTGGTGCAAGAAAAAGGAAAAGAGAAGATAAGAAAGACAAAAAAAATTAATTGTTTTGATACTGCCGCTTTGTTCTTCAAACGAAGCGAACTATTGCTTTTTATTTAATTATTTCTGAAATGTTAAGTAGTGTCATGATTTAACATAGCTCTTTCTATAATGTACTTTGGGCATTCAGTGAGAAAGTGGTATACAGTTTCAATATGTCCTATGCAGTTATTGCAATGGCCTGTCGAGTGTATATTCAATCTGAAGAGATCTAAGTTCAAACCTATTACTCCTATTCTTAATCTATGGAAAATACTTTCTTCAAATCGGTTCAGCTTACATAAATATGGTTGATTTACTGTAGGCAGTATCTGTCTAAGAAAACTATCAGAATTATTCCATCTGTCTTGCCAGAGTTTTATATACTTGCTGGTAATAATACTCTTTATTTCAGAAAAGGATAATTTATTACAAATTTCAATGTTATTGGTCCAGGGGGCCGAGAACCCAGGAGCTCAGGGGTTTAAAGTATATTTTGCATAAAAATCTGCCATTTCATTTCCGTGTACACCACAATGGCTAGGAATCCGTTCTAAGTGTATGTGTTTTCCTTGATACGATAATTTTGTACTTAATGTAATAATTTCAGTTACAAAATATGTAATAGCTTTTTCATCCTTTATAGCGAGCAGGGCGCTTATGGAGTCACAAAAAATAACAATGCCAACATACACATTAAGGTTCTCTAGCCAATTAAGCGCAAGGAGAATTGCAGCCAGTTCGGCTCTAAAAGATGATGTGTGATCCGCCAATCGTTTTGCTTGTTGAAAGGAAAAGGCTGGTACATAAAAAGAAGCAGAACTTATTCCAAGATTTGGAACCTTTGACCCATCTGTATAGATGTGTAGTTGTATTGGCCATTTGGTACTGATCAATTCTAAACTGCGTTGAAGTAAATGAAATGGGTTTTCATGTTTGTTCACTATTTCGCTTAATTCTATCGACACGTTTGGAGCATTAATTTTCCAAGGGGGGGGGGGGACTAGATATAGTAAAGGGTTCGATAGTATACAATGTTTGATAAGTTCTGTTCTGCATCCAAATTGCTTGTTATTCTATTGGAGCTTCAAAAGTTCCATTTGCCAGCTGGGCTTAACGTTTAATATGACAGGGTGATCTCGATGCATTTCAATCTTTTGTCTGAATCTGTCTGCCAGTAGGTATCAGTAGGTAGCTGGGCTTGGCTTCTCTTAAGGCACAATAATTTTTTGATAAAGTGTCAAATTAGGGTCTGTGCTTGCAGAATAGGTGTAGGGTGGGGAGAGGGCATGGGGGCTGCACCACCAAAAAACTTTGAAATTCGCCCCTACTTACGAATAGGCCATTTTCGTCCCAACCAATATAACCAAATTAAATGCAAATGCCTTGGGCTTATACTAAACACTCGGGTCGCGGCGCGCTGGAAAACATTCGGGTCACAGCTTGCTGCTTCCAACTTCGTTTTAAAGTAAATTTCCCCACGCACCCCCATTGAAAAATGGTTAAAAATAGTCGCTAATCTAAAATAAGAATTTACCAGCGTGAAGGGCCGATTTGAAGACACTATTAGCCAGCCGTGACCAGAGTGTTTTCCAACAAGCCGCGAACCGAGTGTTTAGTATAAGCCTGCCTTCATGTACAAATTATTTCAGTCACCTGTTCATTTTTAGAATAATTGTTTTTTTAGTAGTCAGCCGTAATATGTGTTCTACATTGCCATAGAACATCATCTTCACCTTTAAGTTTAGGTTCAAATGTAAATCCTACCTCCCTGGACGGCAACAGAAACCGTACATAATTATATTGTAGCAATGACAATGACAATGATTTGTATTTCTTTAACGGCCCCTTCTGGGGAATGGAAGAAATGTTCAAAAATGATATTAAAAAAAACACAGAAAATCTTTAAAAACAAGAAAATCTTTGGCAGCGAGCAACATACAAATCGTTCGTTCGTGTCAGTTATGTAAAGTTCCTTAATTAAATTAAGTTAAATTAAATTAAGTTCTTCCATCGCCCCATTGCTGCAATGGACGTTTCATTAAAGGCGCGGATCCAGGATTAATTAGGGGTGGATTATTTAGGATTAGTCGTGCCGACAAATATTTAGCTCAGTGGGGGGGGGGGGGGGGGGGGGGGGGGGGGTAGGGGGGGGGGGGGGGGGGTGTAGCTATAATTTGTTTTTCTTCCAAAAAAAATAGAAGTTTAGGGGTTTTATACATCAAATCAGGGGCGTACGCAGAGGGGGGGGGGGTTTGGGGTTCAAACACCCTCCTTTGGTATTTTTATGTATGTAAACCACCCTAAAAAACCTAAACCCCCCCCCC